TCTCTCTCTCTCTCTCTCTCTCTCTCTCTCTCTCTCTCTCTCTCGCCAGGTAGCATCACTGCTTCCACCATGAGGACCATATGGTCTGCAGCCTGCAGTGTTCTCACATGGGTTAGAGTATGTGGCCTCCAGCAGGTCCTTCGGGGCAGTGCTTGATAGACACTTGAGACCCCCTGAAAGTCACACCAGGAAAAGAAAATATAGGGTGCATTTGAAAAAATATAAAATTGATTTGACACTTGCAGTTGTCTTTTAAAAGTGCATTATGTCCAGCAGTATTCATCCATGTATTCCCAAATAAGAATACAGTGAAATAGTATGGACGGGTTTCCTCTTATATTGCCATTAAATAACTGCTTGTTTCTTGTAAAGCCTCCATGGGTTGCAAATAGAGCGCAATGCAAATGTTGTGTTGTTTATAAAACCTAATATTACTACATAGTCTCACTGCAGTTCATGAAATAGTCACAAAATAACGTTTTTTTTCATGTCGCTCCGAATTACTTACTTTAAAAACAAAACACTACAATCAAACCACAACCTGGTGTCCAACACCGGTCTTCTGGGTTAAGTCCTGTTTGTTTGACCCATCCACCTCCCTCCAAAAGTCGTCTTTTTGGATATTATAAAATACGTCACTTGCTCTGACTGTTGCTTAGTCATGTGGATGCATTTCATTTGTGTGTCCACTACGATCAAGGCTCCTAATTGTCTTTCCATTGGCTTTATTTTCGTCCTGAGCGCCAAATCTATTGGTTTGTGATTGCATTTTGTGACTATTTAACCAACTGCCACGACACTGGGCTGAACATTACCCCGTACTACCTGAAAATCAGAGTGTTTTTGTAGCTTGGTTATCATGGCAACACTCGGTTAAAAATACAGACTCTGTGCTGTGATAGACATCAGGGGGAAAGTTGTACATCGACACAAATGTGTGTGTCATGAAATCTCTTATATTGCGTATTGAGTCTGTGTGAGAGTTCAGCATATCACTGAAGCACTAAGGGACCCCCGATTGCCACCAGGTATTTTGCACACTGCTTCAGATGGTTTACAGTAGACACTCCTATTTAGCAACATGACAAATATTATTTCATGCAACACATTTGATATGATTTCATCATAGTGTGAGCCTGGATGCTATACATGGAGATGGAGAGACTTCATGTGAGCAGTTAGAGTATTCACTCTCTTACTAATTGGGATCACTTGGCTCTCAGAGCAGGTGACCATGCAGGAGCGCCTGAAGGCCTGGAGGTTACAAAACATTGTGAAATCAATTTCACGATGATCCAATTCACTTGAAACAATTCCACTCAGAGAATGAGTCCTGCAGTATATTCTAATAATAGATGTTCCACTGTAATCTCAGTAAGTGATGAAACAGAGAAAGTATGGCAAGAGAAAATGTTACAGCTTATTATTGTTTATTTGAAAAAGATTATGAGTATACAAATCAGAGAGATGTGGTATAAAAACTTCAAGATGCAGGAGTGTGATTGAAGATGATAGAAAGTGTGAATATAGTGAGCTAAATGAGTTGAAGAAGGAAATGAATGTTATTCTTTATTGTCCTTTATATCATGATTTAAAAAGTTGATGTGGCTGATTTAGATTTGATAGATATTGGAAATGGAACTTTTGATAATCTTTTTGCATTTTCTGAATATCTTTTTGAAAGCATGGGAACAGAGGAGAAAAGTAACATATGATATGTGGTCCTGCGACTCGCTTTTATATAGATTGCAGACTCTTGGGTTATGAACTATATTTGTTGTTTTTCCATTGAGGAATATCTCCTGGAGCATTATGTGTGATTTATGTTGTTATTTCGTTGATTTTAATGTAATTTGCTGTTAGATGATGGTGGGTTAACTTGCTGGAATGTTTGGCTTGTTTTTCGATAACAGTTCTGAATAATTCAATAAGGTACGGGTCATGTCATGGTCATTCATTCAGTCATTCATTCAATCATTCTTTCAAATAACAACGAAATCTCATCAAATATGAGTCCTGTGTGTATTCATTTGGTTAGCATGACATGAAACAGGTCAAGGACCCAGAATGCTGAATTGGATCATACTCGTTGTACTCGTTGAATGACACAGACCTAGAAACAACCCATCTTGCTTTGGGTCTTTAAAATACGAAACAAAAATGACGTATACATAAGCGGAGTATTGTGGCCTAATGGGCATATTTTCAGATGTCCTTAACATCATCTAGGACAGGGGTTCTCAAATGGGGGTACGTGAAGGCACTCCAGGGGGTACGTGATATTTTTTAAATATATATTTAAAATTAGCATCCATTCAAAAATCCTTGAAGAATAGTTATTTAATAAATATTCAATAAAATATAAGTGTAAGTTCATAAACTGAATTGTATATTCAGTAGCTATTCAATTTCATTATCCTAAACAATGCAATCTTCAGTGTTGACAGTTTAATAAATCAGACACTGATGATCTTTTTTCCAACCAAAAAGGCTTTGCGCTGGTTAGGGGGTACTTGGCTGAAAAAATATTTCACAGGGGTTACATCACTGAGAAAAGTTTGAGAACCACTGGTCTAAGAATACAGCCAAGGCTCGACGAGCAACCAGGCAAAGCTTGTGACTGCCCCAGGGCCCTGGAAGATTGTTTGTGTCTGGAATATGTCAACATTTTGTTTTAAGACCTTTTTCAATGGTGTTTTGTGCTTACATGTTGAATATTCATAAATGTATCTGTGTTTGATCAAGTTCTAACACAGCAAACCTGGAGCCAGGTTGTATGCACAGTAAAAGAGCCCTAGCTCCCCTAGCCATGCGGGTGCAACTCTGTGCTGTCACTCTAAGCAATAAAAAGTTTGACTTCCAAGAATAAAATAACACAGATCTTCTGGCGATGTTCCACAACCATGAGGCCCATAGAGCAAGCTCACTAGCATTTTCTTGAACTCCTCCCAGCCTTCGATCCAGCATCATTCTTATTCACATGATCACAGGAAGAAAAGAACTTTGGACTCTGGTCCTAACTTTTAAGACTTTAGGACCTAATCATTAAAATAAGGGCTCATATTGGCAAGTTGATTGACTTAAAAATAAATATATCTGCTGACTTACTGACATCTCCTTCACATTGATAATCTATGGGAAAAAGTATTTTTGGGATCAATGGTACCACCTGACAGGCCCAGAGTTTTTAATTCCACCATTTGGCCACTATGTCAAATTTCAAAGCACAGTGCTCTTTCTGGGGGCTTTCTATAGATCAGCTGTTTCCTGAGCCCTAAAAAGTTCCCAAAAAGTTTTGATGTTTACAGTTTTAACATGTTTTCCCCCATTGATCTCTGCCTGGAAACATCTGCATGGATTTATTAAAAGCTACAGCACCACCTTGTAGACCTGGAAGGTGTCATTTTAGACTAACTCCGTTTTCATTTCATGTGCTTGTATGATGGACAGGGTGAGGAGGACAAAAGGGAGTCTGAACTTCACCAAACAACATTGACTTTGTTTACTGATGCGCTCCTGCACTTTCTCCCAGTCCATATCTGTATGCATGGAAGGGATGCTGGCCACTGAGGAAGCGAGTGGCACTTTGCAGCGCCTCTGACAGCAGCACTCAGAACTCCTATGACAGTCTCATGAGAAGACTGAACAAGATTATTTCTTTACCTTAACATCAATTTGGCACGCTGTTAAGCTATTGGATGGGAATGGCAATCCACCGAGGGCTTTGGATGCTGTCACTGCGAAAGATACGACTGACACACGGCATTGTCCTTGTCTGCTATCAATGTTTGTGCAACTGTGAAAGCAAGTCTGTGTTCTGTTTTCTGCATTGCCCCTCAACAACTGATTCCGACGTACCTTGTAGGGTATGAGAGGCACCAGGCTTACGACTAACTCCAATGTTAACCCTTGCATTTATTATTAGAGGGTCAAAGCATCAGACTTAGTATAAAGGTTGAGATTGTCAGCGTAAGTGGTGTGGGAGGGAAGGGCCAACGGGTCAAACCAACAGAGGACTTGCTAATTTACAACACCTGTCCACAGGAGGCTTTTTGCCAAATTGTAGTTCCTTTTTGCACAGATATAACTTTATTTGCATTGTTCTAACAAAGTGATTGCACATTTTATTTGTTTTTGTCTGATGGAGCAATCTGGTTTACTTAAAAGTGATTGCAATTTTCTTTATTCTATTATTTGAAAAAGCACAGACGGAGGAGTCACAAAATGTTATTTCAATAAAAGTTCAACATGGACCATTTTGTTACAATTTTGTTGTGGCGGTGGGGCATGAACATTTTTCTTCCTCCAAAGTGGGGCGCGACAGAAAAAGTTTGAGAACCACTGGATTAAACCAAACTGTGAAGACATGAGTTTATTTTAAAAAGATAGTATGTTGTTGACGATTGGAAACTGACCCTGACTCCTGTAATATCCAAAGCTGAAGCTAGAAGAGTACGTAGAGCATCATAGTTTAAAGCTTTGGGCAACTGACCAAGCAATGAATGGACATGATTAGGCATTATGTTAGGCAAAAGCCTGAGATGCATCGGTCAATACTTGTAACATAATGATCAGGCCCTCACATTTACCGAACCAGTTTACTCTCAGGTTGTTATTGAGGAATTATGATGATGTCTTGTCCCAGAGAAATTGAGCTAAGATAAGACTTAATTAAAATTATATCTACCTGGGATGCAACACAAGTCCTGACTATGTGCTATCGTAATGGTTTTTAAATTAAAATCCGTCCCTGACCGCAGCAAAATCTAAGATATGTGGTCTTAATTAGAGTCAAGGGTACAGGGAGGGGGTGGGCTGAGGCCCTTGTTCACAGAAACCCCCCCTCAGTCTATAAGGCTGCAACATTTGGCCATGCGATTTCCTGTTAACACATTGGTGGCATCTGCTATCAATTCACTCTGAGGATAAAGACGGTAATAACACCATCAAGAGAGAGAAGGAAGAGTC